CCCCCGCCCACGATTGAGTGTGGTCTACCTGGCAACCCTACTTGCCTGGAGCCTGCGGTGGCTGTCAGGCCCACTGGGCTTGCTGCCAGCCTGCCTACCAGCCACGCCTCTGTGGCTCTGCATTCCTTGGCCCACTCTACCATCGCAGACACGCCGCTTACCAGTCCCTAGAGGAGCCCTGAGAGGTTCTGGGCAGCCCTCCCCAAGCTGAAGTCCATTGGAGTTGCAAAGTGCGCCGCCTCTCTTAGCAGCAGACCCCGGAAGCCACACCACAAGGCCACTCTCCTTCTGGAGAAGCTGGCACACCCTCACAAGCGGCTTTACACTCTGCCGGAGGGGCAGGTAAGGTAACAAGGGCAGTTGGTTTTGGGGCTAAGACGGAACTAGCAGTCCGGAAGGAAGGGCCCTTTTCCAGGTTCTGACACTTAGGCCAGGCAGGCACCGCTCTGTGCCTCAGTTTCCCCATCTGTCAGCTTCCTAGAGAGAAACACGTGCCTGCTCTTTCCCGGTGGAAATGGATTTCCCAGTATGTTGCAAACACACGATATACTCACAAAGTTGCCAACTTGCCATTTTATCCCAGGTCCCGTGATGCTTGGCTCTGGGAGTCCTGTGCTCTCCTGAGACTCGCAGCATGCAGGCACACAAAAGAGTGGGTGTCCTTGCCCTCCAGGCAGATGCTAAATAAAAAGAACCCAAAATGTGTCATTTAAAAAAAAAGGAAATCTCATGATTTTTCGCACTGCTCTGGGGATTTTCGCATGCCGGCGGTGGGCAATGCCATATTGGCTCCAAATGCTACCAGAACCACTGACCCAATCTCTGTCTCACATGTGCACTGGACCCTTCAGCCCATCCAGACTTTGCAGCTCCTGCACATCTCCAAATTCCTTGCTCCAAATCAGCCCTTCTGGAAACTAGCAGTCTCCTGTGAAGAAGTGCAGCCCTGAGCTGTGATGAAGTGGGGACGGTCTTTGCTCTGCTCGCTTTGTTGAATCGCATGTGATTTCTGCTGTCTTGTAATAGCCCCATGTGTGTGCCTCAGTTTCCCTGGACACTGCACCAATACCTAGATGGGGATGGGAATATCAGGTGTGACTCACTGAAGGAGGCTGCCGAGGCCAGCACATACAGAGTGGCCCAGGCTTTCTTTAACCTGAGCCTGGAAGAGGGGTGCAACCAGATGACACCTTTTGCCTAGGAAATGGGACAAAGTAGGAGGTAGGGCTGCCCGCAAGGCTGGGACCAGTTGCTGAGTGTGTGAGTGAGTCTCAGCTGGCTTAGGGTACAGGGAGGGGGACCAGGGCCTTGGCTCTGGGCCCCACCTCTCCGCATGCTGGGTTGTACTGACTGTTTCTGGTTTCTGTGCTCACAAGTCTTTTCTACGCTGTGTCTCCGTCAGCTAACAAACCTTCGGTTCTACCTGCCGGCTGAGTGTCACATCTGGCTGTGGATGGGGGTGCAGGGCCCGGTGACTCCCCCCACTTCGGTGACACAAACTGTACACCCTGATCCCAGGAAAGCAGAGAGCGCACACACAGTGGAAAGAACTCAGTAAGGACGCGGCGTAATTCTGAAGCTGGGAGCAGAGCTGAGCCGGGCAAGAATAACAAGCAGTTTCGGGGAGGCTGCTGCTGTGGAGAGCTGAGCGTAAGAGTGGAATGTGGGTGCGCCCTGGTGCCTGAGGAGAAGGAGAGGGGAAAGAGGACATGGCTGTTGGGTTACGACAATCTTGTGGTCCACTGGAATGAAGGAGGGCCCCTCACTAGCCTCGGTTGCCCCTCACTACTACAGGAGATGGGAGACAGCCATTCAAAGTACAATACGCTACAGGAGAGAAAGGCAAGGAGAGAGCTGGAGGGTAGATCTGAGCCAGGAAATGAGAGTGAATGGGTATGGGAGAGGGCTCTGAGGGGGCTCCTGTAATGCCCACAGAAAGGGCTGAGCTGGGGAGTGGAGTGCAGAGGAACAGGGAGTCAGTGGGTTGCTCAGGCCTGTGCTAGAGATTGGCACACAAGGGATGAGGGGCAGTGGACATTCCTATGGGGCAGGAATGAGGTGGAGAGCAGCAGTTCCAGCGTCACAACTGGTGCGGACCAGGTGCCACGGGAGCCTGCACTGACTGTCTAGGAAGGAGCATGGTGGAAAGGGATCTAGGGGTCATAGTGGACCACAAGTTGAATATGAGTCAACAGTGTGATGCTGTTGCAAAAAAAGCAAATACGATTCTAGGTTGTATCAACAGGTGTGTTGTAAGCAAAACTCGTGAAGTCATTCTGCCGCTCTACTCTGCACTAGTTAGGCCTCAGCTGGAGTAGTGTGTCCAGTTCTGGGCGCCACATTTCAAGAAAGAGGTGGAGAAATTGGAAAGGGTACAGAGAAGAGCGACAAGAATGATTAAAGGTTTAGAGAACATGACCTATGAAGCCAGGCTTCACGAACTGGGCTTGTTTAGTTTGGAAAAAAGAGGATTAAGGGGGGGGCATGATAGCGGTTTTCAAATATCTAAAAGGGTGTCACAAGGAGGAAGGAGAAAATTTGTTCCTCTTGGTTTCTGAGGACAGGACAAGGAGTAATGGGCTTAAAGTGCAGCAGGGGAGGTTTAGATTGGACATTAGGAAAAAATTCCTAACTGTCAGGGTGGTCAAATATTGGAATAAATTGCCAAGGGAGGTGGTGGAATCTCCCTCTCTGGAGATATTTAAGAACAGGTTAGATAGACATCTGTCAGGGATGGTGTAGACGGAGCTTGGTCCTGCCTTGAGGGCGGGGGGCTGGACTCGATGACCTCTCGAGGTCCCTTCCAGTCCTATGATTCTATGATTTCCCCGCCACCTGCTCTCTCGGTTCACTTTGTTTCCTCCTGATGTCATCTCCTCTCATCTTTCTCGCAGGTTTTGTGGCAAGTGACGCACTTATGCTCTGGTATCCCCCTGCCAAGGGTGGAACACGTCCAAGAAAAGCACGGAGAGCAGCAGCAGCACATCTGGGGCCAAAATTGCAATGATCAGCTGTGACCTTTTCAGGGCCTGTATCTGGGTGTGAGATCAATGGGGCTTTTTTCAAAGTGCTTGTATTGATCTCAGAACGAAAGACATTTCACCCAGCAGCCGCTGACTTTGGCCTCTTGCCTTGTTTGCCCCAGCCTGGGACAGCTGCCAGAGCCACCCTGGACCAGCAAGGTGCTGCCAACCACCCTCAAATCCCATTAACCCCCAGTGCCATTTCGAGACAGCACCGTGTGTTCACTGCTATCCAGGCCAGGCTGTCTGGTGTAGCACGCTGAGGATATTCAGCAGCAGTTCAGGGGTTAAATAGGTCTTCATTTGATGGGGAATTAGACACTACATGCTGAAGATCTTAAAAACAAAATCCAGTCTTCCTTCCTTCAGAACAATGCGCGCGGCCAACTGGACTGATGCAGAGGTCATGGACCTCATTGAGGTTTGGGGGCAGGCCCCCAGTCTCCATGATCTCCGCACTAGGAGGAGGAACGCGGCCATCTATGGCCGCATAGCGGCTGCCGTGGCCCGCAAGGGACACAGGCGCATGCAAGAACAGGTGCGCCGGAAAGTGAAGCAGCTGCGTCAGGCGTACGCCAGGGCCACCAGGGGTGGCGCTGCAGCAGGGGCTGCCACCTGCCCCTACTTCTCTGCCCTCAACCGACTCTTGGGGGGCAGGGCGGTCCGTGCCAGCCTGGGGGACAGCGAGCCGGGACTGGAGGGCCCTGACCCGGGCACACCGGAGGGGCCACCGCAGGATGTCCCAGCACCGGAGTCGGCAGGGTCGTCCAGGGAGACCGTACCGGGTAAGTAGTTTGAATTAAGTAGTTCGGGGGGGGAGGTGGCAGGGAGACCAGGGACCGCGCGCGTGGGCCATGCCTTCCACGGATCACGCAGACACCTGTACACGTGCGAGCACGTGCCATGCCACCCTTGGGCAGGTGGCTCCAGCTGCGTGACACCCAGGGGCCATTGCCCAATAGGCACATGCTTGTGCAAAGAGACGTGACATGCTCCCGACCCCGGGGCAGGACCCAGCAGGATGATTTCCCTTCACATGTCCCCTCTACACGGAGGCAGGGGACATCTCCCCTCCCCCCCGCCGCCCCGGCCACACTATACATGGCACAGGGGCATGGGTGCCGTCTTGGGGCAGCTCCCAGTCCCGGGGAGAGCCAGACATCCTGACCATGGCCTCTGTACAAGCACAGCGGCTGTGACGGTGCAGGACATGGTCACCCTCACGTTGCGGGCTCTGACGGTGCAGGGCACGGTCGCCCTCACGTCGCAGGGGGGTGCTGGGCATCATCCACTGTGTCCCCAGGGAGAACTGACCACTTCTCTCCTTTCTCTACAGCTGCACCACCTGCTCGTGCAGGGTCCACCACCCCGCCCAGGACATGCACCTGCGGCCTGCTCCGGACCACCACCACGGAGCAGGAGTACTGGGACCAGCATCTGGGGTCCTTGCGAGCCCTGCACCACACAGTGGAGGTCTGGATGCGGGCAGACCTGCAGCTCTGCCAGGAACACTTGGCTGAGGAGCGAGCCAGGATTGCTACCCTGCAGGCCCTGCTGCAGAGCATGGCGCCCCGTGCCCGTCCGGCACCTGCTGCCCCCCCAACAACTGTCCCTCCTCCCACTCCTGACCCCCTCCCACCTCTTCCTCCACACCCTCCTCCTCAATGTCCACACCCCCCACCTCAACCTCCGCACCCTCCACCCCATCTTCCCGGGGACACTGAGGCCCCCCTCCCTCGTCGTGCTGGGAGGCGGTTGGCCCGGCGAGACCCACAACCCTGATCCCTGAGCTTCCACTCCCCCTCCGTCCCCTTGCTTCCCCCTTCCAGCTCCCTCCTCCCAGTTTTCCCCCTCCCCTCTCCCACCCTCTCTCCTGCCCTCTCCCACCTCCTTTCCTCCGTCTCCCCACAGGTTCATTCCCGCTCCCCAGTTGTGTTCAATAAACAGAGTTGTTTTTTTGAAAATACGAGTCTTTTATTTGACATCAGGAAGGGGGGTTAGGGAAGTGGAAGGAGGAGAGGGAGGAATGGGGCACGAGCCCCCGGTGGGGCAGACCGGGGAGACTATTAGCACTCCTCAGGGTGGAAGCTCTCCCACAGGGCCCCCTGGATCCTGACTGCCCCTCGATGGTCCTCCCGGATGGCAGCCTGCAGACAGTGCAGCCAGGCTGCCGGCAATATGTCCACAAGATGCAGCAGAGTCCCCGGGGGCAGGTCTGGTTCCATGTTGCAGAGTGCCGTGGTGCCCCAGGTGAGGGCAAGCAGAGCACTCCGAGACACAAATGCTTTGCTGTCCCTCATCGAGGTAGACAAGCAAGCGGGGAACCCTGAGAACTGTCTGTCCGGGGTGGGGGTCAGGTCCCTTTAAGCACAGCCCTCGGCTAGCCTGAGGCAGCAGCTCCACCTCTAAGTCCTAACCTGATGCCCTGCCGGCACCTGTTCCAGCCAGCCTTAACCTCGGTTCAGGGTCCACTCAATGTGGACATGCTAGTTCAAATTAGCAAAATGCTAATTCGAACTACTTTTGAGGTCTAGATGCACTAGTTCAAGTTAGTTCGAATTAGTGCTGTAGTGTAGACATACCCTTAGAAAGCAGCAGGAAGGCAAATACTGGCTTTGGTTCTTTGCAGTAGGTCATGTCCGACCATTTTCA